GGGCTGGCTGACTCTTTCAAATAACTGAGAGAACTTCCTCTTCCCAATGCCTGTTTCTTCCCTTTCTAATCCATATGCCTACTAAGACTTTTATTACACTTTTTATCCACTTGTTTACTCAGTGCTTTGCAGTTTCTGGCACATGTTACTGCCCCAAGTCTGTATTTTGCAAGCAGGTTCCTGCAGAACTCGAGTGAAGAGCCCTGGTAACCCCAGGGACTTGCTGCTGCACTGGCACCTCCACCTGAGACCGCTGCTCAGATTTATCCTACGTAAAGAGACATTCTTGAATTCTTCTCTGTGAAATATGGGCAAAAGTATCACTCCTTCCCCACCCTGCACTGTGGTTGTCCTCTTTTCCTTTTCTACACATCCCCTCCTTTTTTTTTTATTTAATCATGTTAGGCTTTGGGGACTTTTTCTTTTTTTTTTTTTTTCTTCCTATTTTCAAGTTTTTCTCATGGGTAGCACACATTTAATCCAAACACCTAATGTGGACTCAAGTAAATCCCCTGTGACCTATGCATGCTGCATTCTTTTAACTTCTCCTTAGCAGTAGCTCACCCATCTTCATGTAGTTTTTACTTCAAAGCTTGGTTACAGTAGATGGTCTTTTTGCTTATTTTTATTACATAAGGACACTGAATTTGAATGCATTATCACCGCTGCTATTCAGTAACTGCCTCTTACACAATATTCCACGTATCACTTGAGAATTAAACCTTTTTGGAGTTCTGCTTACTAGAGTCAAGTAAGTTAATGTGCACTGTCACCCTAGCTCCTGTCACACTTACGTGTTCTGCACTCTCACACTGGAGTGTCCTTGGAATTATCTTCCTCTCCACCAGCTTTCTCAAGTGCCTATTTGATCAGTATCTTCATTTATGACAAAAAGTCCCTCCACAGCTCTTTAATTTACACCACACAGAACGTAAACTTTTGGTTTTGGCCTGCCTCATATGCTGAGCTTAACTGGATCTGTAGAAGCTTGCCTGCCCAGTGCCAGCACAGCTCAGCACCTCGCTGCAGCTGCTCCTGCTCAGCCTCTACTCACAGAAGATGCGAACGCTGCTGCTGCACCCATGGGAGAGGCAGGAGGAGACGCTCGGTAGGAGCTGCAGTGGAAAGCAACTCCACCACCTTCGGCTGGGTTTGCAGCTGCACCTTGTGTTCTCACGAGGTTCACTGGCCATCTTCATTTCTTTCCAGCGCAGCGCTAGGAAGTTTCATTATTGCTGGTATCTTGAGTACTGATATTAAGGAGCCTTTCTCCTACATGCTCTGCCTCTCCTACATAACAAAGAAGCTCTGTGTAGGGTAAAGTGTAGCCCAAACCCCCTCCTTCACACCCCACAGTCCCTAAAAAAGTTACTTAGCACTTGGAAAGACCGAAAAATGAAGATGCTAAACGAACTCCCTGAGTGCACTCATGTGGCAGCCTGGCCAGCAATGTGTTTCTTCAGTAGTTCTTTGTTTGAACTTCTGATTGAGTTACAGGTTTTGAACTCGATTCTCAGGAAGTTGTAGGAAATATCCAAACTTGGCTCTTGCTCTAGCAGATTAATCCCTCCTGGAAATTCCACCTGTGCAATAGATGTTGGGAACTGGTGCCTGACCTCTTCCAGATGTGGGGCACGCTGCTGTGCTCCAAGCCTGGCCTTGTGCTGACGAGGAGCCAAGACTTCGCTTCTGCTACAGCAGCCCTGCACTTGTCAGGAGTTTGCACAATCCCCACCTCTCTGCTTACAGCCGCTGACACAACCCAGCCCCAGTCGCATACGATACTCATCTGGCTGTCCCAGCTAGGACATGAAGGGCCTTCAAATCTGTCATCTACCTCAAAGCAGCACAACCACATCTTGACATCTCAGAAATTTAAACTCACATTTACCTTGGCGCTCCTGTTTTCCTGGTAGTTTCTCTGAGAAAATAAAAAAATACAAACCGCACACAGGAGGTAAGAAATCATGTTCAGAGGCACAAGTACGGCACTCCCCCAAGTAAGTGCCAGATAAACAACAGAACTTCCTATTTAGTCCCAGGATTTAGGGGAACAAGAGGATAAAGGATTACCAGATCCTTCCAGTTCCTCACTGTAAGCATGGACCCCACAGTTGCATCGCTGCCCCCTCATCGCTGCCCGGGGAGCAGGACTGTAGCAAGCTATTACGATGTGCAGGGCGAAGATGGCAGCAGAAGACCAAACCTCCTCCTCTGGCACTGGAAGCATTGCAGGAGGCAACTAAAAGGTTCACCAGACTATGGGCTAACAGCGTCTCCAGACCACATTTCTGGCAACAAGTAGCACCAATGGAAGAGGTTCTTGGGCAATGCAAGCAGCCAATAACACGTAATTTAAGAGGAAAACGGCAAAAAAGCAGAATAAGGAGGATTGTGTGTGATAAGCCTAGTGCGCTCTCTCACCCAGCAGCATCTGGAGAGGATTTTCTCCAGCAGGCAGGGAAGAACTCGATTACATCCAGTTAACTGTGCTCTAAACTGATTATGCATGTGCCAGGCTAATGGATTACATTAGCAAGAGGAAAAATAACATCCAATCAATCTCAATTTACTGCAGACCACACCAAGGCCTGAGAGAAGAGAAACCATTCTGTGAACTACCCCCACTCCCACTGCATCTTTTCAGCTATCAAAAGAGACACAGCATTACAATCACTCTGAAGACTGCAAGAATTGCACCGAGGCCTCAGCAAACAGCTCGCTTTATCCACAGAAAGGTTTTTCCATGAAGTCACGGATTCCAGCAATGCTGGTGTGAGACACTGCGAATCCTACCTTTTGCTGTCCCCTACCCCAGCAGGCAAGTGAGCAGCCACGCAGAGCAACATGAGCTACACTTCATGATAAAATAGTCTGTGGTTTATCAAAACAAAGAAAATCCCATACCGTGCATTTCACAGGCTTTATGCAGACACACTAGAAAGCTAATATGTGGACTGCACAACAGACTTCACTTCTTTGAAATGTGTTTTTTTTTTTTTTTGTCTAGTATCTCACTGCTTTTGTGTCAGAAGCAAAGCAGTACTGTAGCAACTCTGAGACCTCCCCAGGCCTCTTATGAACCTGAAAACTGACAATTCCTCTTCACCCGAGGAAAGCATTTCAGGAATCTTTATTACATAGATTTATGGCTGGCTCCCAAAATCCGATTTAATAATAAAAAAAAAAACTTTTTTTTTTGAATTCCAGTTGAAGTGCTTCAATTGTTTCTTCCCCAGTTCCCCAGTAGAAACCACTAGAAATGAAGGGGTCCAGACCTAGAATTTTTAGTATTTTTAAGAGAACAATGTTAAGTGTTAAAACTCATAATAGAGCTTTCAAATACCTCTTTTGTACCCCAAATTCAGTATCACTGAGAAGATTTGATTCCTTGGCTGGCTTTTTAAAGCCTCGGTGGGATACTCATGACCCCAATTTCCAAGCTGATTTTTATTTTCTCAGGTCTCCTGCATACCTGAGAGCAGAGGCATAAAGGGAGGTGTGATCACTTTCAGAGCCAGACTCTGCTGCGCTATCTTGATTCTCAGCTGATGATGGTAACAGTGATCGTCACAGAAACCTTGGTCTCAACAACTCACTCACTAGAAATGTTTTCTGCTGTTCTTCTGACCAGTCCCCTATCAACTCCAGGCAAGTCCAACAACCACATTTCTAGACAAACTTGCTATAATGCTGCTGGTCACATCTTTCCCCTCTGAATTTGCTGAAACGGTGCATTCCCAGGAAAAATCCAGGAGTATTGAAATCTAATGCACCTGCACCGTGACGTGGGTGGGATATTGAACAGTGTGATGTCAAGTTTTAAAGTCCCATTACTTAAAGAAAAACAATTGAGAAACAATTAGGAAGTACAAAATATGATCTGCTTGTATATGTACCTTCATACATGAAGGAAATCTCACTCAATTTGGGGAAAATCAGGGAAAAAAAGGATGAGGATAGAAAGAATATAAAAAAAAAAGAGAGAAACAAGAAGGCAATGAGTAGGATAGGATGTGTGAATGCAAGGTATGCGGCTGCCTAGATTTATGGCAATTCGTACCTGATTGTTCATACTAAAGCCATTATGGGATGATTAGAGAAAAAGGTGAAGCTTTAAGTCCAGTGAAAATCAATAGAAACGTCTGGAGCAATTCTGCTGCGCGAGTGAAAGGACTATTTACTGCATCCGGAGCTCCTCTTGGGTTACAGCCCAGAGGGTTCAAGCAAGCAAGGGGAGAGGGGCTGTGAACAAGAGAAGTACGTCAGGAAAAAGAAGATGGCGATAAAGACACAAAATGAGGCCAAAACAAACAAACTAACTAAGAAAGGAAAACAAGATGGCAGTCACAGGCCAAATGTTACCACGGAGGAAACCCTGCAATGCCTCCTAACTGACCATAGCATGGCCAATACATGCACGCACACACAGGTTTCTCTGCCCACCTTCAAGCAAGCAGCAAGCACTTCCACTTTGCTCACAGATCCCAGCATTAACATACAGAGCATTAGAGCACAGTGATGGCAGCCCTCTTCTTCCTTCCCTCCCTGCTCCCTCCACCCAGCCCTCTCAGAGCCAGAATAACCCATTTCTCTGAGAGCAGCACAGGCCTTCAAGTTCTCCTCAAGAACCTCATACAGCTTAACGACCCACCTTACGGAACAGAGCTGACAGAGGCTAGCACTGTCTTGCACAGTATTTTCAACAGTGATTGTTATTCCTTGTGTGTAAAAGTTTAACACGTACACAATACTTATAATACCTACAAGCCCCCATGATAAAGTGCCTTGAAATGAACAGTCAATGGCCTAAGGCTTTAAAACCCACAGCTGCTATGAGAACACGAGCTGAGGAGCTGTATCATGCAAGTGAGACTGGGTCCCGCTGGAGAGATCTGAGCAGCTTGTCTCCAAAGGATCGCAACCCACTGTGGATCAAAATAGATTTTCCTTTGTTCCAGCACTTGGGCAACGAAAGATGAAGCAAAGCCAACCCTTACCTTATAGAGCTTCAGGCTGGCCTCATGCCTCGAGTTCACCGTGTGAAGACGCAGCTTCTCTAGACTGTTGGTGTAGTAGTCACAAGCATTGCATTTCAGGTGTACTGGATTCCCAATGGCCACGCACTTCAGCCTCCACTCGTTGGCCTTCCCACCCTCCTTGATATGTGCTACCAGCTGGTATTTCTGCACATGCTTGTCCGTCTTACAGTGGAGCTGGAAGTTTGCCTTGAGCTGCGTGTTGTAGCGGCACAACTTGCACTGGTATGAGTCTCCCATCACTGCCTTCCACTCGTCTTCAGGGAGGCTACGCTCCACGTTCATGTGGAGGCCCAGCATGTCCAAATTATCTGTAGTGAACTTGTTGCACACAGCACACTGGAAGAGCTTCAGTGATGGGTCATTTGTTTGCGTGAAACTCTCACCCAAGTTCATTAGCTCCTCAGACACCAGCTGTCCACCGCCTAACCGCATGTCCAGGGGGATCTCTCCACCCACTGCACGAAGGAAAAAGGGGAAAAAAAGAGGTCAGAAAATCTAAATTCTTTAGTTGCCAGGAGAGAAGCATAGAATGGAAATCTGCTCAATACAATTCTTGCATCCACCAAACCCACAGCAAAAGCCAAGCACAGCTGTCCCTTCATTTATTCCTCTTCTGCTGGCCAGTACCGTATCTGACAAAAAAAAAAAAGCAATAGCAGCCAGCATGTAAGGCTGGGAAAGGACTGCAGTGGCCCTTGCTACCTACCTTGTAAATGCCAAACTCTGAAAGAGAAGCATCCAACCCTCTGTCCATGAAAGGTGACAAAAAGAAACCTGCTTCAGACACAGTTCCTGAGGAGGACAAATTCCTCACTGCAAGTCTCTGTGGCCATATCAAGAACAGGATAATGGGTCTTCCTGTGTTTTTCTTGCCTACCTGGAGAAGCAAACGTTACCTCATGCAGTACCTAAGCACTATCTCAACGTGATCTTGGCCACAAGTTCAAGCAGTATGAGTATTACGTAGGTAAGTCACCACGCTGCAGTCAGAAATGGGCAATGTGCAGAATATGGCACATACAAAACCAGTCTGAAAGGTGCCACTCCTGCAGTATTAGAACTGTTCTCTCATCCAACAGTTCAAAAATGGAAGACAGTCTTCCAAAACCAATGTTGATAAATGCTTTGAAAGCACAAGAAAACGACAACCATTATTAATAATGTGAGTGCAAGAACATGTCAAGGAAAGCCAGCAGGATGCTTGCTGCCTTTAAGCATCATAGATCTCCTCTTCAAACCAAGAGCTGAACTCTGTTCAGTTACAGTAAACGAGTACAGCAAGCTCTGATTTACATCAGATTACTTTGAAGATACGGACAGAGACTTTTTTTAACATTAACTTTTTATGTCAAAGCACAGAGACCAACCACCAGCCTTTTCTTAGGACCTTTGCTCCACCTTGCTCTCTTTTTCCAGAAGCGAAGACACTTGTGCTCTCATCCTGCAGCCTTTTGGTATTTTACCTTGATCTTATGTCATAGCTTGGCGTAAAAGTCTTATTTTATCAAAGGAACCTTCAGGTCAGCAGTTACTCAGCCAATCAAAAAGTTTCCTATATTTCAATCTGTTTGCTGAGAAAGAGCTACTAGTGAGAGGACACTCCAAGTTCAGGCAGATACCCTAACTCCATACTAACCTTTCTGAAAGCACGTCACCACAGCTGGTGCGGGCTGCAGCTTTAGGCAGCATATATGCTACTATCTTTCCTGCAGAAATACAATACCGTGATGTCCATTACAGTCATAAGCAGGAAGAACTACAGCTTACAAGAAAACCTGACTGCTGAGTTTGTTAGAGGGTGCCTTGTGCTCACACAGGGAAGAAGTGGCTGGAGAAAAAAAAAAGTCCCATTCATGTGGAACAAGCCCCAGTGCCAGAAACCTGCCTTTGGCCAAAGCAGTCATGATCCTTGTTCTCAGCCGACTCTATCCCTGCCTGCCACAGCAGAATTACACCCTGCACACAGTTACTCCTGCATACCTGCTCACCAAACACACCAAGAGGAGGAACAGACCACTTGCCTTCTATAGTCCACATCTCCGAATCACAGTAATTTTCCTAAGCATTCCGCTTAAGATATATCCTGAAATCTTCTCTGTGAATCAGCCTACTCTAAACACATCATACAGTAAAAACATGAAAGCAGTATCTTCTGATATATTAATAGTCTACTCAAACCCAGTTTTGGACTGAAGTGTAAAAATGGAAAAAATCTGTTTCACGTCTAACAAAGTCCATAGTATGTGTATGAGTTAAATGAGCTGAGCTTATGTCAAGTGCTTTTTGACATGGGGAAGGACCTCCCTCCGTGATCTTCAGCTTGAGATCTGTAACCATCAAGTGTACTATTCACAAATCACTTTCCAGGCAAGCTCGTATACATTCAAGGCCTTGTCTTGCACTTTAAGAGACTTCAGTTAAAATACTCTCAAATTCTCTCATGCCAACCTCCCCGTACTTCAGCAAGGAGACGCTATGAGCTACAAAAGGGGTGCATTCCAAGAAACCACCCACAGATGACTCCTTAACTTTACATGCTACTACGAGCTACATTGCAAATGGCTGTGAGTTACATCTGTTGGCAACTCAGTGCTACTGAAAATATACTGGAAAAGATTATGTCCTTGACCTCCCAAAGATGCAAGCTGGGACACCAAAGAAAAAATTAAGATAATTAATTTATAGTCACTTGAGTTCCTCCGTCTTCATTTTTTTAGTATCTTGTGTTGTTGTTCTCTCATATGACTTTCACGTCCTTCTGGACTAATAAGCTGTACTATGAATAGCTGAAGGAAAGGAGAACATGCATGAGACCAACGAACCAGTAACGTAGCGCATCAGTAATAATAGCATCAATGGATGGACAAGGTTAGAGAGGGCAGAGTGCAGCCAAAGAAATTAGCTCAGAAGGAAGCAGGTACAGTGGCAGATTTCTTTTCACATACTTTCTGTAGGCACTATGAAAAATCCTCAGCAGTAACAAAAGAATGTAGAAACAAAAGTCATTTCAGCTTTCAGCTGCCATGCCCTAAGTGCCGTGTGGGACTCTGTGATGAAAGCTGAAATACAACAGTGCTGCAGCGGCTGCCACCAGTCTTGTGCAACGTAAGCAGCACTTTGGAAGAACTTAACTGGAAACTGCCCCTACCCCATTCTAACTCTTGGGCTAAATTGTGTGGGGATAGGGTGTGCTCCCCACAGTGCCAAGACAAACATGATGAATGCTTGTTTTCAGGAAAAACACATTTGGTAATTTATTTCAAAGTGCTTTTGTCATTTGATGAGCGAAATAATCTTCTTTCTCTATAGCCATTCTTCAGATTAATGACTCTCATCCGGTCAAGCCTCAAATCTTGTATATCATGCTGGCATCAGAGGAACATTTCAGTGCAGCTTCTTCAGCAGAGGAACATATCCCCTTCTACCCAATTCATCACAACTCTCAAAACACTTACCTTTTCTTCTCAGGGCAACACAACTTGTAAGACACCAACTCAATCTCTGCCTCTGAGAGCACTAGCTGCTGAGCGGACAGCCTCACAAAGCCACCCACCACACAGTACTTGCACCCCTTACCGAAACAAGAAAATCATGAGGAAACCCTTGGAAAGCATCCTTTCTATAGTAATGAGGAACATTTAATGCATGTTAGCTGTAATCTGTGTCTACTGCTTTATTACCTCCTTACCAGAACTTTTAGAAAACATACCAAGGAGCGACATACTTTCCCCAGATGAGAGAAACTGTCGTGAGGGAATGCAGAAGACAAGTCTCTACCATGCAGACTCCATCCTTGACCATCACACACAGGCAATTCACTGCACTGCAGCACACAGCGAGCCGCACAGACAGAACAAAGAGTTTGGCACGCAGCGTGCAGCCCACACATGAAGGTTTTATGGTAACACAAACACAATCCCTCCCTCACACACAGGAACAGGGGAAAACCCTTCAACCTCACCTAGAGATGGAGTCATCGTTGCCATGGGGTTGGTGGGATCAAGCTGGAATCCACCCATCATGAACTGTGCATCTGACGAAGTGCTATCCATCTTCAGGTTGGGAAGGTTCATGTTCTGTGCCAGGTAGTACTGGTAGAGCTCGGCCTCGGCAGGGGACGGCAGGCTACCGAGGCCCAGGTGCCGGTTGTGTTGGATTTGGGACATGTTTTGCTGAAGCAGCATCATATTGTGCATGTGCTTCTCACTGGTCATGTGAATACGAAGGTTTCTAGCTACGTTGGTCTCATAGTCGCACACCTCGCACCGCCACGTGGGTTTGGTTTTTGGTTTGGTGGGGGAGGGGGCCCCACAGGTGCTGCCAATGTTGGCGGCTGCAGCGGCCGCGGCTGCTGCAGCCGCTGCTGCCGCCCCAGCGGTGTGGCTGAAGACTTGCTCTCCCCCTCCGTTCTGCAGGTTTTGCATGTTGTTGAGATGCTTGTCAGACTGCATATGAATACTGAGGTTGCCTTTGGTAGTAGTGGAGTAGTTACAGACCTCGCAGCGGAAGGGCTTGTAACCACAGGTGTAGCTCTCACCCCGTGCCAGCCGTGGGTGCGGCTGCCCACTTTTGCAGTAGACACAGGAGCCACCCGGCTCAGGATGTTTCTCCTTCATGTGCGCCTCAAGCGTCTGCTGGTACTTGTAGTGCCAATTGCACTTGGGACACTTGAGTGTCTTACATGAGTTGCGAGAATGCATCATAGTCATGTGGCCACCCAGCGACCGCGAGGAGCCCAGGACCGTGTCACACTTTGGGCACTCCACGCCGCTCCCCGAGGGGCACTCCCCACCCCCAAGTTCACAGAGGGGGCCAGCATGCTGGTGATGGGAGATGTAGCTCCCGTCCTCGCCCTCTGTGCTCTCATTTGGTTCTGGTGCTGTGGCATTGTCTTTATTGGCACTTTCATCGATAAAGTCCAGCCTCCTGCTGCCCTCTGCCACGTTGGCTCCACCGCCCTCATTGTTAAAGCTTAAGTGATTCCTCCTGTTTGCACCATCAAAGACAAAGGAAGAAGCAGAATTAGAACTAGTAGAAGCTGTGCCCCGCGACAGGGTCTGGAGCACGTTAGGCATTAAGGGAGAGTTAGAAATGCTTTGGTTTGAGAGAGCAAGGTCCTTTTTGCTGCTGCTGCTGCTGCCGCCTGCCACAGCCCCAGAGTCCTCCTGGGGCCTGTCCTCCAGTTCGTCCTCCAACTCGCTTGGAAACAGTCCTTTGCAACCCTCATCATCCTCATCTTCTTCCTCTTCCTCCTCCTCCTCTTCCTCTTCCTCCTCCTCCACCTCCTCCTCTTCTTCCTCTTCTACCTCTTCAACTGGCTCTGCCTTCTCTGAAAGGCTGTCCTGGTCGCCCCCTTCTTGCTTCTCCCCCTCTGCCACCCCAGGGTCCTTCCCCTCTGAGGATTTGGTGGGACTGGAAGCCAGCGGGCCCAGGGGGACTGAGGTAATTGGAGTCTTCAGAGCCGAGCTGGTCAGCCCACCCAGGTTGAGGAGCGTACCAGGGGCCAGGACACCTGACGGCGGCGGCTCCGCTCCGCCGGCTGGCCCAGCCTGGAGGGCCTGCTCGCCTTCCATACGAATGCCACTGAATTTACCATAAAAACTGTGTCCAGGGCCTATGAGGTTAGCTGTGGAAACAAGAGGGTGCTGAAAGGTTTTGTTTTTTGGTTCCAGAAAGCTGACAAGGGGTTCCTTGTCTTTGCCTATCCCTTGGATGATAGCGGAGATGTTCTTATTGCTAAGAATTTTCCGCTCCTCCTCACTCAGAGTCATTCGGTGGTCGTGCACCGCATGGGTCACGAATGAGCGGACATACCCAAAGGAGAGCTTGCACAAGAAACACATCAGGATGGGCTTCCTCTTCCCGTAGAGCACAAAGCCATCGAATTTGGACAGGTCCACATTGTTGGGAACATCTTTGGATACGCAGGAGCTTTTGGCAGAACCATCGCTGTTCAGGTAATCCTTGTTGCTTTTGTGTCGCACATCGAAGACGCGGAAGCTGTGCAGGACGGGGCTGATGCCCGCCAGGGCTGAGGTATTCGGGAAGGCCTGGTCTGAGCCCTCAAACCACTTCCCGAAGGATGAGGCTATGTGGAAGGTGTTGATGATCTGTGGGTAGACGGGGGCGGCGGCGGAGGGCTCTCCCTGCTTGGAGAGAGAGTTCGGGAGCAGCGAGGGGAGAGCCCCGCTGCCACTGCCACAAGCGCCCCCGCTCTGCACCAGCTGGCTGAGGCTCTCCACGATGTAGGCCGAGCCATCCGGCTGGTAGACGATCTCACCGGCCAGGTTCTCCACGTCGCTCTCCTCGTCCCCGTCCTCGCTGCTCTCGCTCCCGCTCTCCCCCCTCAGAGGCGGGGGCGGGCGGGCGCCGGCGCAGCGGTGCTCCATGTAGCTCTGGAGGCCAGCGAAGGAGGCCGCGCACTGGCCGCAGCTCACCTCCTTGCCGGCGGGCTCGGTGCCGGGGCCGGCCGCGGCGCTGCTCTCGGGGACGCGCTCAGGGAAAGGGACCCTCAGGCTGTCCAGGGGTCCGCGGCTCTCCGCCGCGGGCTGCTCCATGCTGCCGGCCGTGTCCGGGAGGTGGGTGCTGTTGAGATCAGTCCATTGCTGGTGCTGAGGGATGCCGCACCCATTGTCCTTCCCGGGGATGACGGGCGAGTCACAGCCTTCCATGGCAGGGCCGGCACGGAGCGCTCATTGCACCCGGTACGGCTGGGACCTGCAGGCAGGGAGAGAGGGAAAAACAGGTGAGTCAGAGAGAAGACCACACGGCTCCCATATAAAGACCATGCACCACAAACGCCCTGGGGATCCCGCTCTTTGGGAGCACCAGGGATGGCACGAGAACTGGCTTCCCAAAACAGGCTCCAGGAACAGAAGACCCAACCGAGGATGCTGCACTGGGAGTGCAACCACAGGAAACGAGCAGCAGCAACCAAAAGATGCTCGTCCGCTTCCACTTTCCCTGAGTCACAGAGGGGAGCAGGGAAGGCAAGAGGCTCATCAGAGAAAGCTGGAGGGTGGGGAAAACCTCCCCCCTCACCCTCCCTGAAGGGGGACAGGAAGATCGTAGGAACTGCATTGACACCCCCAAAGCTTTAGATCTCCCGAAAGACCTTCAAAAAATAAAAATAAAAAAGATTAATAGAAAAGCTTTTGAGAGAAGCAGCGTTCAGAAGCTACAAAAGAACACTGTCAGAACTTCAAAACTTTGTAAAAATTGTACATCCATGTCTGTGGCTTCCCAAGTCAGATGCAGTTATGTCCAGGCGGTTCCCCTCTGTTAGCTGTTCTGGGAGCACAGCGAGCACCCTGGGCTCAGCCTCACACATGCACCTCTGTAGTAGATCATGAGACCCAGAGCAAGAATTTTGGAGTCACAGCTTTTAGTATGCACGGGAGATTTATTTGCTGTTTTCTGGACAGAGTTTAAAAGGAGAGACGTCAGGAGAAAAACCAAACAGGAAATTCCAGATCTGACAAGGGTCCATCCTGGGGATCGGAAAGTGGTCAGCTCAACATGCTTCAGGAAGCTCCCAGAGATCCTGCAGGACACAGCCTGAGCACAAACTGCTTCCCCTCAGCCCCCAGACACAAATAGACGATACAGGTCCTGCAGAAGTATGGACACCCCTCCCACTATTTCTGTTCCACCAAGTATGAGACCCAGAGAACTCACACCAACAGCCAAGCAGTTGGTGAGCACAGGCTGCTGAACATGGCCAACATCCACAGCTCCCAGGTTTGCTGCAGCCTGGGGTTCTCTCTTATGCTGCAATCCGAATGGAGTCTGTTAGGCAAAATGAGCCTTCCTAGAGGTTACAGACCTATGAGCTTAGGTCCCCAAAACGCTACTGTTATGAGCTAGAGCACGGATCAGTAAGAGATTGCCAGTTCAGCTGCAAACCTAGTAAGAATTCTGCGTGTAAAGACACGTCTCTATGGTCGTCTTCCTATAGAGAAATGCCGGGCAAGCCAAATGGGAAGAAACACCCTCAGAAATTAAAACCCTGCTACCTCAGCTGCAATAGTGATGTTCAACCTTTGAACAGATAAAAGCATACAACAAAAAACAACTCAGGGTCAAAACTCTAAAAGCAGAGGAGAACCCCACATTCTTAGGGTCAACAAAACACTGGTACTCTAGATCTGTGGTTATCAATGCCATGGAGGAATTTCTACATAGAGTTCTATCTTCTACCAACTAAATGCAAATGCAAGCATGCTTGTGTACATGATGTGTTTCACAACACAAAAACAGATGTGGTTTTTTTTTTTTTTAGCTCTTATTTTGAGAAGTCCATTCACATTAACAGCCTGCTACCGCCCTTTGTCTCTTTCAGAGACTATTAGCATTTTAGGTTGTCAAAACACTACCTAAACATTAAATACTATACTTAGAGTTTGAAAGTTTTTCCAGTACTTTCTAGATTGATCTGAGTCCATTAGACACAGCAGACTCCTGAGAGCTCCTTTAGAGCAGTACCTGTAACACAGGCACACCTTGCATCCAACTGTGCCAGCACCTTGCTGCTGCACAGATGTGCAACTGTTACTTAAACAACTTAGGAAAGAGAAGGAAAAATATGGAAAGAACTAAACATTTGTCAGAGAACGCCTCATCAGCTGCAAAGCTGTTAACATACGACAGGAGTACGGAATGAAGTATCTGAACTAGTTCAAGCAAAACGAAATGCAGCAAGGAAAGCAGAAGCTCCCCCTGCTAGCACCAGAAAGCCCTCCAGCATTCAGAGGGAGGCGTCTTCTGTTTTGTCCTCACCCCTGCATCAGGGATAACACTCCGCAGCACCCAAACACTATTCCTGCATTGTGGGAATCAGAAGTGGAATCAGACAAAAGCAAGTCTGACTTTCTTCTTCACACTGCTGACCACCAGATTTGGATTCTGGACATCCCCACCTGAAGGTATCTGGGCAGTTTTCCGTTCTATTTTAGTTCAGGCAAAACTTGAGAAAAACTATTTACTGCTACCTATGAGGTCAGAAAGCAGCACTTCTCAAAGCAAGCGCAGAGCAGCTGCCTACACAGGGACACAGAGGCATGATGGTTTTACGATCCGAAGCGTTTGTACACATGGCTTTGTAGCATTTCCAGTTCCCGCTTTCCTTGGACCTTATGCCATGCACTGCTATCTGGGTGGTTGCATTGGGAATAAATAGCAGCTTGATCTGTGATAGAAATAACCTGATGCATGGAATGGAATAAGAAAGAGGAATACCTTGATTCTGTTGACAAAAGGCTCAGGCATCCTAGACACCGTTTTGCTTACCTAAGCTAAAGTGTTTTAACAGTGCCTTGTAACAGCTCGTGCTTACTAGCTCTCTCCCACTGAACATTTGTCTTTAGCTATGCATTTTCTTCAAATTGATCCCAGATTCTTCTGTAATGAGGTTACATATTCATCTTTCCACAATGTGACATATCCTCTCCTCCTAACTGCTACCTTTGTATTGACAACTGTGATCCAAATCAAACTGAAACATTCATATTGGGTGAAAACTGAGTAAATGAGGAATTCCATAAGCCTTCTATTTCTGCCAAGAAAAGTTCTGGGAATATCTGTGCAGACTTCAAAGCACAATGTGGAACAAGAGTGCCCCAATTTCAAAACACCTTGACAAAAAGCATTCAGTTTGCCAGCCTGGACAAAAATTCCCTGGCATTAAATAATTTAAAATCTGAAAATCAAATAAATAAAAAAAAATCATCATTAAGAAGACAGTAAAATAGCAAAGCACAGCCAGCTCCCCAGGAACCGTGCACAGACAACACACACCATGAATGTGAGCATCTCCATTATCAAGAACTCTTGATTGGCAGGAAGATGCCTGACTGACAATTGGGCCAAAAGGGTTAGCAGGGCTGATGGGGCGGGAGGGTTAACAGCCTGATTGTAAAATCAATGTAATAAATGCTTGGTAAGTTACAGGAACATGCGGGAAGAGAAGGCCGCGATTGATAAAGGACTGCGGCTTTGATGCTGCACTGGGGACTTGTTTATTGACAAGAAAGCCAATCTCTTCTCCGAGCCAGGCCAGGCCAGGCAAACCTGCAAGCGCTTACCAATTAATTGGTGGGCTTTTCTGCCTTGGGTTGCTTTAACATGTCTCCCCCACTCCAAGTTAACCAGCTCAGGAGGTGCTGCTCTGAAGGAATCCTTCCTCTGTTTGCTCGGCACGTGGCCCTGTTGGGGCACGCGGAAAGCGCCGCAGTGCGAGCACGGCCTGCCTGCCCTGCACAGCCCCCAGGCACGTGCCAAGCCCCTTCCAAACCCAGCGTCATCTCCAGAGCCATTCCTAAAGAACGATGCTGAAGGAGGAAAAGGTGTGGATTTGTTTCCATTCACACCCAAACTGTAGGTATCATCCCTTTAAACTGAAAAGGGCGATTTCCTTGTTAACGCAAAGCAGACTTTATGCTGGAGTACAATGTAGGCCACTACCAGGGGCCCTGCATCTCCCTCTGAGGCCATCCCTAAATGACCCGGGGGGACGTGCAGAGCTGGCGAGGACAGACCAACCCCTGCGCGCTCCACACCTCCCCATCCTCTCCCCGGCCCCCCGCCCTCTTTGCTCTGTTTATCAGCCAGTCAATAAGAAAAGGTAGTTCTTACTTAAGGAGGCAGAAGTCAACTCGTCAGGTCGATCAGCACTCTGTCTGTAAACATGGTTTCCCGTAAAATCAATGAACTCCAGTTACAGAGAGAACAGCCTGAGCGCCAGAGCCTCCCCGTGCCCCCGCGGCAGGGAAGGGCTCTCCCTCGCTCCCTTCTCCAGCCTCGTGTCCCGAGCTGCTCCACGCAGCTTGCAGCCGCCCGCAGCTCCCATGGCTGTGCTTGCTGTGCCTCCCACAGGCAGCCCACCCAGCCCCACAGCATCGCTGCACCTCGCACCCTTCGGAGCAGGTTTGGGACGTGGTGGGACAGCTCTCCCAGGCACCGGCGGGCAGGGAGTTCCTAGCAGGGCAGGAGCAGTGGCCACAGCGGCCCAGAGCTGAACCACAGCTGGAGGGCCCAGCGTGCCCAGAAGCACTGCGCTGGGCCCCACATTGTCATCGGGAGTTTCTACCAACCACGGCTGCTCCGTCTGCAGCCGTGCTCTGTCCAGAGCACAAGTGAAGTCGACCCCCGCTGCTCCCCGTCACCTCCTTGCAGCTCCTGTCCCACCCTCCACACCTGCAGAACTGCCACCTTACAGCAACGCTTCCACCGCCGAGGAGGGGGCCGCAGCTCGCGGGGCAGCCCCCAGCCCGCAACGCCGCGCATCTTCCTCCCCAGCGCGGCAGCGGCACGGGGAAGGGAGAGCGGGAGGGAGGAGGGGGCTCCTGCTGTTGCCCAGGCTTCCCGAGAATTAAATATGAACAGCCGTGCTGTGTAATTTTAAATTGTTAATTAGCACAGGGTTAATTAGGCGGCCCTTTCACAAGAGGCTGTTTGGCAGTAAACCAAGACTGGAAGCAATGAGGAAGGAGGAAAACAAAAGGAGAAAGAGACAGTGAGAAACTGTTCCCTCAGCTAATGACCCACATGGCACCATGAAAAAAGGGTGCTGAGGACAGGGAAAAGATACAAGCAGATGCATTACATCCACGGCCATTACCCTGGAAGATACCCAGCCAGGCACCCCACCCCCTGCCTATTCCCACAGCCCACA